ATAAGTTAGAGAGCAATAAAGGACAACATCTGACCTTGTCTGAAAGCCTCCTTGCATGGATACACACACAAGAGAAAAAATATTTTACATATAATATATTAAATAATGGATTTAAAAGAAAATAATGAGTCTAAATGATGACTTGAGGACACTGAAATGCTATATTGAATAAATGGATTCTAACACGGACTCTAAGGGTAAAGAAGTTTTATATTATTGCAAGTTTATATTCCTTTTGAGATGAGTTCCAAGTCCCACAAGGCTGCATGTCTCAGCTGGCCTTTAGTATACACTGGAATCTCAAAGAAATAGACTTCAATGCCAGTGAAGGAAGGGATATGCCTGCAAGGTGAGGGCAAGCAGGCAAAGAGCAAAAGCTTCCTTCTTCTATGTTCTTATATATGCTTTCAGCAGAAAGTATGGCCCAGATTAAAGGTGACGCTCCTTCAGGTGAGGCTCCACCTCAACTTCAAGCACACATAAAATGGTAGGATTCAGTACAGTGTTTTCTCAGACATCCTCAGTGATTCCTTCCCTCACTACCCCCTCCTCTGTCCTGCCCTCTAACCTCTTCCCCGTTACTCACCTTTCCCTATTCACACCACTTGTGTTCTACTTAGCCCCTCTGTATTACTCAGGGTTCTGTAGAGGAAGATAATCAATGGGGTGAATGTATTTGTAATATATGCATAATATATAGAATCACGTATTAAGACAGTTTACATTGAAAAGTATCAACAGCTGACTCCCAGTTGAGAGGCTGACAACCTGCTAATTGCTCCATACTTGAAGGGGAGTACATCAGTAGTGAGAGTAATCCCACAACGGCTGTCTCTCATCCACTAGGCAGACCAAAAATCACATGGTTGCTCAGGTCACAAGGCAGGGTACCTCTGCAGCTCCAGTCTGGCACAGAAAACCCGGAAGCTTCCTGGAGAGTCACTGATCCGGAGTCCAGGACGGATTCCTGGAAATGCTTGTTGTGGTACCAGTGAAGAAATCAGCAGCAGAGACAATAAGAGGGAAGGCCAAGCCAGCACAAGGCAAGTCATCATCCCCCTCCTTACCCTTGGCATCGGGGTGGGTCTTCCACCATCAATCAAAGCAATCAGGACACTTCTTCAGGTGAGGCGCCATATCAACTCATTCTAATTTGTGGCCAGTTGAAATTAAAATCAACCACAATATCCTCCATTAAGTTTTCTCTTCACAATGGATTAAGAAAATGTGGTACATATACACAATGGAGTACTACTCAGCAGAGAAAATCAATGACATCATGAAATTTGTAGGCAAATGCATGGAACTCAAAAATATCATCCTGAATGAGGTAACCCAGACTCAAAGGGCAAACATGGTATGTACTCGCTCATAAGTGGATACTAGATGTAAAGCAAAAGATAACCAGACTATAACCCACATCTCCAGAGAAGCTAACTAACAATGAAGACCTAAAGAGGGATACAAGGATTGCCCTGGAAAGGGGAAATAGATGAGATCTCCATGAGTAAACTGGAAATGGTTGGTGGGCAATGGAGGGTAGGGGATAGGGGATGAGAACATAAGGGAACAGGATGGTCAAGCTGGAACAGGGACAGAGTGGGAAAGCAATGATATAGATACCATGATAGAGGGAGACATCATGGGGATAGAGAGAAACCCGGTGCTGGGGAAGGTCCCATGAACTCCCAGGGATGACCCCAGCTTGGACTACTAGAAATAGTGGAGATGGTGCCTGAACTGAACTGGCTTACCCCAGTGATCAGATCAGTGAATACCCTAACTGTCATCTCAGAGCTTTTCTCCAGTGACTGATGGAAGCAGATGCAGAGATCCATAGCCAGGCACCAGGCAGAGTTCTAGAAGTCCAGTCAGGGAGAAAGAAGAGGGATTCTATGAGCAAGTGCATCAGGATCATGATGGGGAAACCTGAAGAGGCGACCAAACCAACTTGTATCAATGGCTGCAGAGCTTGCATGGGACTGGGTTGAGCCCTCTTCATGGGGAGACAGTTGTGTAGCTTGATCTGCTTGGGGCCCCCCTGACAGTGGGAATAGAATACATCCCTGGTTCATGAGCGGCCTTTATGGAGCCCACTACCTATGATGGAACACCTTGTGCAGCCTTGAGGCAGGGGGAGGGGCTTGGACTTGCCTCTACTGGATGTGCCTCCCCATGGGAGGCCTTGCCTTCTTGTGTGGGGGAGTGGGGGATGGGTTGGGAAGAGGAGGCTGGGAGGATGGACGTAAGAGGGACTAGGGGTTCTTTGGTGCGGAAAATGAATGGAAAAATTTTTGTAATAAAAAAAAGATGTTTTTTCACTACTTGTGGAATCCTAACAATGGGAGTGGCTGGTATCAATGATTCTTTTGCCTGCACTTGGGTTACCTCATCTAGCATTGATATGAGGGGTTGTGCCTAGACTTACCATAATTTGTTATTCATGTTCAATTTAATATTCCTAAAAGGCCTTTTTTGTTGTTGTTGTTGATTTTGTTTTTTTTTTTTTTGCACTTGGAGAAGGGGAGGGAGAGGTAAAGCTCAAGAGTTAGCCTACCTGCCTCCCTGGCCAGAGTCCCGCTTACTTTCTTTTAAACTTAGCCATTCTGACTGGGGTTAGATAAAATCTCAGATAGTTATAATTTGAAGTTTCCTCATAACTAGGATGGTGAACACTCTTCAATATTTCTACTCATTTGTGTTTCTCATTATGAGAATGCTCTGGTCAGTCCCATAATCAATTTTAATTGGAGTGACTGTTTTCTCAGTGTTTTTTTTTTTTTTTATTTTTATGTCTGTTTGACAGTGGTCCTTAACTGATTTAATGCTGGTGAGGATTTTCTCCCAGTCTGAAGGCTGCTATACTAGAATAACAGTTTCTTTCACCGTTTGTACCCATTTTAACTTCATGAAGTCACACTTCTTAATTGATGGCTGCATTTCCTGTGTGGAGAAGATTCTATACAGGAAGATCTTATCTGAACCTGTATCCTGAAATGTACTCCTGATAATTTCCCATAGGAGTTTCAGAATCTCAGATAACCTTGAAGTCTTTGATTAATTTGAAACTGATTTTTGGACAAGGTGAGTGATGACATTCAAGTTTCATCTTCTTCATGTTAAATATCTAGTTTTCCCAGCTCAGTTTCTTGGAGATGCTATATATTTGCCAGTATTTGTCTTTAACATAAATGTCAAAAATCAGGTGAGTGTAGGTATGTGGATTTATACCTAGGCCCCTGATACTAGTTCATTGATTAATAAGTGTTTATGTGGTAGGATCATACTATTTTTACCACTATAACTTGAAATTAATGTCTTAGATTTTTATCGTTGACTGTGAAGAGACACCATGACAAAGGAAACATAGAAAAGAAAACATTTAATTGGGTGCTTGCTTAGAGAATCAGAGGGGCAGTCCATGCACATCATAACTACGGGAGCAAGCAGACAATCAAAGTGCCCGGAGCCGAAGAAAAGAGCTGGGCACTGTACACTCCTCTCAACATCCATCCACAGAGGACTGTTTAATATGCACATATTGTCAATAAGCTGTAGACTGACTCCCAAAATTAAAAAGGATGTTTCTGAGCCCTGTGGATATGCGGAAAGGAGAAAGCTCAGTCCCTGATGGTAAGAGGGCAAACTGGTACAGCCACTAAGGTAATTTGTGAGGAAGCTCCACAGAAATAGATTTCCCACAAGATCCAGCTCTGTCACTCCAGGGCATAATCCCAAAGGACTTACATCCAACTACAGAGCTACTTGCTCATCCATGTTCATTCATGCTCAGTTCACAATATCCAGGGAATGGAAATAGTCTGGACACCCATCAGCTGAGGAAAGGGTAATGAAAATGTGGCACCAGGACAGAATGGAATATCACTCAGCTGTTAAGCAAACTGAAACTTAAAACTCATGGGAAAATGGATAGAGCTGGAAGCATCCTTCTGAGTGAGGTAACACAGGCCCAGAAAGATAAACATCATTTCATTCCTCTCATTTGTGGATGTTAGCTCCCACTGTTCAAATATGTGTGATGCATTTGGAATATCCACAGAGACTTTGAAATTACTATGTGGCCATTGGGTGGGACCATGAAGGGAGGAGAGATAGTATACACTGGTAGAAAGGGTTAAAAGAAAATTACAGTTCAAGAAAGGTTAAAGTGAGGGGAGGCAGATAAGGTAGAGGAAAGAAAATGGGAGGGATAAAGAGCACTGAAGGATTTTTTCTTTTCTTTTCAGAGCTGAGGACCAAACCCAGGGCCTTGTACTTGCTAGGCAAGGGCTCTACCACTGAGCTAAATCCCCAACTCCAGTACTGAAGGATTTTAAACAAGTCATATAGAAACCTACCTCCTACCTCTGCATGCATTTCCTAAAATAATCTATGCACGGCTCCTTGTATGAACTCACCATGGCTGTGACAGCATGTGTAAGACCTGTTGAGCCCAAGCTGGACTGAATACTAAGATAAAGAAGGGAGTTGAGAATGACAAGGATTAATGAACATGAATTTACCATCATGAGAAATTAAGGTTGTGGTCATAGAGTGGGGGTTAAATGAGTTTTGTCTTGAATGAGACTAAAATTGTCCTCTGCACAGGACTCCAGACAATGTTTTCTGTGATCACTTCAGGCTGCATTTCTGAAGTCAGCAATATGAAAAATGATCTTTCAAGGGTTGTGTTCCTGCCTATCTAGTAAGATGCTTCTCCGTGTTCCTACCTGTTTCCAAGCCCCACAATGCACTCCTTTATTATTTTAGGACATTCCAGCATGTGCTGCCAAAAAATTAAGACATAATAGAATGAAAAAGAGCTGATAGTTTAATTTTCTCTTTATTCTTCTTGGAAATGCAGGGGATTCTGAAAAACAAGAAGATCCATGAGCTTTGATGATTGGCCAAAACACACTGAGAGGGAAGGGGCACAAGTCAGAAGACTGTACAAATCCTGCCAAACTGCCTTGAGCCTGCAGCTTGCAACAGAGGAAAAGGAAGGAGCAAAGTGCATTGTGGTTCCTGCAGCTGAACTATGCTGAGCAAATCCACTGGACGCCAGAAAAGCTAGTACATGGATAGCAGCGTTCAGATCTAACTTCAAACCCTCACCATCTCTGTTCTGATAAGACCTGGTAGGTAACAAGACTTTTTGGGGACTCACTTTGGAAGCTTTCATTGGAGGCAAGCAGGACAGGCTTGTGGGTGCTCTTAATCAGTTACAGAAGTTGAAGTAGACATAAAGGCGATGATCTTGATATTGGTTTTGGCAAATCACATCCAGTTGTCTTGGCTTCTACCTTATTCCTCTCCATAAAATGGTTGTAAACATATGGTTCTGGTAATGGCATATCTCTGCAGTTTGAGGTTTGTTGTATCTCATTTCAAATTGCTGCCGAGTTCATGGTTAACTATTTAATTCCTTGTATCCCAAGGCCTCTGGTCTGTGGAGAAGAGGTCTCTCTGCATGCTGCTTCTGCTGGAGCTAGCTGTGGAAATCTGTGCCTGAAGAATCTTCTTCACTGTGCTTTTCTTTATTGTAAAGCAGGAGTGCTAAGGATGTTTTCTTATTCTGTAGGGTACATGAGCTGTGTCAGGATGTGGTGGCAGCTGTCACTTAGGCAGGCTTGCTTTTGTAATGTTTGCTGTGTCACAGCCATCTCATTCCCTGTGTTCACATTCTGTGGGCAGACCTTGAAGACAAATGTCACACTGGAGTCTGCATCACAAATCCAGGAGCTGAAACTGAAAGAATGAGAGGGAACTGAAGAGATAGAACAGCCTGTGTGCTGCAGGGATGTCTGTCTGTCTGTGTCCTGTGGGTGACTGTCCCTTTAAACAAGAAATTAGGCAATGGTGTTTATTTAATCAGGTTTAGCTTCCCTTTCAGGACATTCTTTTTACCCACTCCTTCCTGGCCTGTGTCTCCAGTCAGACAGAACAAAGTTCTGGTCCTTTGATTTCTTTTTCTTCTTTTTTTTTTTTTCATTTTTTTTATTAAGAAATTTTCTACTCACCCTACATTCCACCCACAGATCCCACTTCCTCTCACCCCCCAGCCCTCCCTCCCAAGTCACCACTACCCCCATCCCGACATCCTCCAAATCAAGGTCTCCCATGGGGAGTCAGCAGAGCCAGGCACACTGAGCAGAGGCAGGTCCAAGCCCCTCCCCACCACACCAAGCTCCCAAGAGTCTGCCCATGCACCAGGGATGGATCCCGATCGAATGCCCGGGTACTCGACAAACAATTCAAGCTAAACAAACAACTCTCTCCCATATCCAGAGGGCCTACTTCAGTTCCATGGGCGCTCCACAACCAGTAATCCACAGTTCATGGATCTCCACCAGTGTGTCCGGTCATCTCTGCATGTCTTCCCATCATGATCTGGAAGTCCCCTGCCCTTAGAATCCCTCCTCTCTCCCATCGACTAGATTCCCAGAGCTCACCCTGGTGCCCTATCACACATCCCTTATCTACCTCCATCAGTCACTGGATAAAGGCTCTATGATGACAGTTAGGGTATTCACTAGACTGGTCACCAAAGTAGACCAGTCCAGGCACCCCCTCGATCACTGCCAGCTGTCCAAGGTGGGGTCATCCCTGTGGATTCCTGAGAGTTTCCCCTGGGACCCTGCCTTTTCCCACTCCCATGATGTCTTCATCTATCATGGGGTTCTCTTCCCTGTTCTCCCACTCTGTCTCCACTCCAGCTCGACCCTCCCATTCCCCTATGTTCTCACCCCCCATGCCTTGGCCTCTGCCAACTCCCCACCCCCAACCCACTCATGCAGATCCCATCCACTTCTACTTCCCTGGGTTACCCATGTGTCCCTCCCAGAGTCCCTACTGTCAGCTAGCCTCTCCGAAGCCATGGGCTGCAGTCTGGCCATCCCTTGTCCTACATCTAGTATCCACTTATGAGTGAGTACATACCATGTTTGTCCTTTGAGTCTGGGTTACCTCACTCAGGATGATATTTTCTAGTTCCATCCTTTTGCCTGCAAATTTCATATCATTGTTTTTTACTGCTGAGTAGTACTCATTGTGTATATGGGCCACATTTTCTTTATCCATTCTTCAGTTGAGGTGCATCTAGGTTGTTTCCATGTTCTTGCTAGTACAAATAATGCTGATATGAACATAGTTGAGCAAGGGTCATTGTGGTAATATTGAGCATTCCTTGGGTATATGCCCAAGAGTGGTATAGTGGGTCTTGAAGAAGACTTATTCCCAATTTTCTGAGAAACCGCCATTCTGATTTCCACAGTGGTTGTACAAGTTTGCATTCCCACCAACAGTAGAGGAGTGTTCCCCTTGCTCCACATCCTCTACAACATAAGCTGTCTTCAGTGTTTTTGATCTTAGCCATTCTGACAGGTGTAAGATGGTATCTCAGAGTCATTTTGATTTGCATTTCCCTGATGACTAAGGATGTTGAGCAATTCCTTAAATGCCTTTCAGCCATTTGAGATTCTTCTGTTGAGAATTCTCTGTTAAGCTCTGTAGCCCTTTTTTTTTTTTAATTGGATTGTGCAGTATTTTGAAGTCTAGCTTTTTGAGTTCTTTATATAGTTTGGAGAACAGCCCTCTGTCAGATGTGGGGTTGGTGAAGATCTTTTCCCATTCTGTAGGGTGTCATTTTGTCTTATTGACTATGTCCTTTAGTATACAAAAGCTTCTCAGTTTCAGGAGGTCCCATTTATTAATTGTTGTTTTCAGTGTCTGTGCTACTGGTGTTATAATTAGGAAGTGATCTCCTGTGCCAGTGCATTCCAGACCACTTCCTACTTTCTCTTCTATCAAGTTCAGTGTAACTGGATTTATGTTGAGGTCTTTGATCCATTTGGACTCGAGTTTTGTGCATGGTGACAGATTTCTTGTATAGCGCTTCCCATCGGTTCTGTACATTAGAAGGGGCTGCCTGTGCAGTGAGTCTCTATGTGCTTGTGCTCAACACAGTATGATGATAGGGACATCCCTCTTTTGTATTAGACTGTTTTGGGGCTCTCCCCTGACATTTTGCACCCACTGTTTATGAATGTAGTAAGACTTCAATTTCCCACTGAGCAGTTAGAACTACAGAACAAGCAAAAATTTTCACAGTAGAGTCCAAGGATTTTCCTCATAGTGCTCATTCATTGCCTGATGATAAACTAACCTTTACCAATGTGTTGATGGTGATGAAGAAGTGAGCAAGACAAAGGCACATTCTTCAACCTGAGGTTCATTACACTGTGGGAGGCTGACAACAAATGACCCTAGACAAATACACATTATGTGGCAGCAAGTGCTGTGGAGAAACTGAAACATAATGAAAGGATGGTGAATGACAGAGGCAGAAACATATTTATATCCCAAAGGGAATATAAATCCTGAATCCTGTCTAATTGAAGCATACCTAGAGAAAGGTGATTAAGAACCACATGCCTACTGGGGGAGAGCATGAAAATGGAAGCAGGCATGAAGTACAAAGTCCTGAGATGAGAAGATAGCCTGAGATAACAGGGAGGCTAGAATTCAGATATCAGCAGCTCCAGAGGTGTGATAACAAACTTCAAAGGTGTATTGTATGTAGTGTGTACACTGTATACCTAATGCATGTTCCTTGACTGAAATGGGAGTCCTTGTGCTGCCTCTCAGAATTGATATTACATGACATGACTTCAGTGTCAATAGGGTAATCTGGCTGTTTGATCATCCAGGTTGTTGCAAGAACCATCACAAGAAATACAATAATGTGGACAACACAGAAGGTGGGATTGAGGAGGTCTCCAAGAAGATAAAGGAGGGAGAATGACCGATTGTGAGGGAATTTGGAAACAGAGATTAAGTCTTCAAACTGATTTGATATGGATGAGAGAGAAAGAGGAGGCTCCAAGGTGACAATAGGGATTTGCTATTTCCTTTACTGATGGTGAGGTCCATTGTGCTGCCATGGGAGATCTTGTAGGCAGGTTTGTGGAGAATAAAGGGTAGAAAGAAGATATCTGAGCTAGTTAAATACTCAGTCCCTAGGCCTGACAGCAAGTATATTTATCTGTTGAGCCACCTTACTGGACTTGATATTTTTTTTTAAGGCAGGGTCTCAAGTAGCCCAGAATAGCCTTTAACTCACTATGTACTAAGAATGGCCTTGAAGTCCTGACCCTCATACCTCTACTTCCTGACACCAAAATGATAGGGATCCACAAGCACCTGCATTTGATGAGGTGCTGGGGATTGAACTCAAGGCCTTATTCATGCTGGGAAAGCTCTCTACAAATGGACCTACATCTGCAGTGCACAGCTAGATTGCTTTCATAAAATAAAAGGTTTACAAGAAAACAGTGAATATAAATGATGACTTGAGGACACTGAAATGTTGTACTGAATAAATGAATTTTAACATGGACTTTAAGGGTAAAGAAATTTTACATTATTGAGAGTTTATATTCCTCATGGAGTATAAATATAAATATAAATATAAATATAAATATAAATATAAATATAAATATAAATATAAATATATTCCATGGCATGAAAAAGACATAAGGAAAGTAAGTCTAGGAAAATTAGAAATTTTTTCAACAAAATGCAATAGCTGAACTTACTGAAACCTTTGAAAACAAAAGTAACACAGACGAAATCAGATTTATGTGATCATTAGAGAGATTAAACACTGATGTCAATTATCATTCATTAGTGTTGATATTTTAGTGGATAAAACCAGATGTACGTTAAGTTCCCATTCATTTGAAGGCACATTTTGAAGAAAGTGCGCACAGACAGAGAAGACATCTTAGATTTCAAATAGAATACTCTAGTCTGGTTAGGCAGAACACAGTTACGCAAGTTTTCATAGTTGTTGATGCTGGTTAAAAGACACGTGCACATTTTATGTTATTTTCCCTTATTTTACTTAAGTTTCAATTTTTCTATGATAAAGGGTTTAATTGAGAGCTAGTAGAAATTTGTTCGAGTTTTTTACAATGCTATTATAAACAATAGATTTTTTAAAATGTTTTTTGGGGCTTGCACACTCTGCTCACAGTCCATCACTGGGGAAGGCAGGGCAGAAACTCTGCAGGAATAGAAATAGGAACAATGGGAGAATATTGTTTACTGGCTTGCTCCCCATACTTTGATAATGCTT